GTACGCGCGGTTACGGCTCTCGAGGACTCCGCGCGAGCCGGGAGGGTAGATATGGTTTAAGTAGAAACGGTCGGCCGTGGGCAGACACGTGTCCCCGATAAGATTGACACGATATGTCACTGAATTAAAGAACTGTTACTTTAGAAACTATTTACTCGAATCGCTGATTCCACGCCATTCAACCTAAGTACAGTAATGTCTCTCTAATTGACGGTCAGGTTGTCCACAGAAATTATTCGAGCCTTGCGACTCGTTTTTATAATCACCGATTTTCAACAATTACAAAAACGAGCCGCAAGTATTATTATTATGTTCGAGCCTCGAATAATCGTATCTCCTCTTCCCAAATTGTCCATTCTTGAGCACAATCCAGTAGCTGTTATCCGAGCTAGCAGAAGAATTAAAATAATTTAAGGCCACCAGCATAACATTTGCAACCAGTGAACATTATCAAAGGTTAAAAAGACAGAGATTCTCAAATGTTTGCTGTTTATTGCAACAAATGCGGACAATTTCGAATAAAAATCCGCAGTCTAACCCTGAATTATGCTTTCGTTTCTGCTGCTGTAAAAGTGGCTATCTACTCGCATATATAAATAAGTAAATAAATAAATAAATACAGATATATATTAAAAATTCTGCTCGATCGACGCTCTTTTTAGCGATAACAACGGCGACGATCGCAAGCGACCGAGGACTCTAACGGAGCGAACTTCGCGCGGAGAAGTTTCGCGATCGACAGCTGGGCACCTTAAACGAAATTCTTGTCGCGAAATACCAATACGGTCGGGCATGTTCGATGCGAATAACGCGGCGGCGTTATAGGTAAGCGTATCCGGGAAGTTTGGGCCATTGAACCTGGTTCGCCAGTCGGCACAATGAGCGCGCGCGCGCGGGCAGAAGCGACGACCGGTAGTATATATCGACTGTTGCCGATTTCTCGACCAGATACGTCTCATTTCCCGTAGGAAATCGAGTCGATGCTCGCGCGACCGGTGGGAACGCCAACGCGGCCTTCTAATTGCCCTCTTCCTCCCTCGTTTACCGAGCCCACCGAAATCGTCCGAAGATACCGCCGCGAACTTCTACCTTCGATCGAGCATCCATAGAACTGCAATAGCCCCGTCTTCCGCTCTGGATGGTCGTTGGGACGAAGAATTTTGTATCTGGCCCGACTCGACCCGACATTGGGATATCACTTTTTATTCGTTTTATATTATTTGTTTCGCATCGACGAGCCAAATTTCATTTCTCCACGAAAATTGAATAGTTTATTATAATACAGGGTATCCCAAAAGTGTCTCGCAATCCGGAAATGGCATGTTCCTCGGATCATTTGAAGCAACTTCTTCCTTTAGAAAAATTTTCTCCGAGGCACCGTTAACGAGTTATTAACGAAAAACAGTGACCAATAAGAATCGAGTACGGCTGTCGCGAGGCGGCCCAGCCAACCAGCGCACGAAACCCAGTTCCGCTCATTGGCTCGGTCGCCTCGTGCCAACTGACCTCGCCTCTCATTGTTCACTATTTTTTGTTAGTAACTCGTTAACGGTGCCTCGGAGAAAATTTTTGTAAAGGAAGAAGCTGCTTCAAATGACCTGAGGAAACATTCTTGGGACACCCTGTATATACAATGATATATCATAATTAGACTGACATAGAATCAGCAAATTATGTAATAATATAATAATGTATGTATGTATTATATGTATGTAATACATATAATAATGAATGTAATAATATGATAATAATAATAATGATGATGATGATGATGATATTAATGATAAATTTAACTGAACCTTGAAATAAATTTTCGTCAAGGGATAGACCTAATTCTCGAATTTCGGCGGCGGTCCGACCAGACCCGATTCAGCGCGGAGACTGTGTTCGCAAAGCGACGCGATTCCAAGATGAATCGTTCGACCCGGTCCGCTCCGACCCGAGGTTTTCGGGATCCCTCGAGTCCGGTGGTAACGGAACCCGAAGCCGAGAGAGGGAGAAAGGCTGGTTCTAAAGAGGCGGGGAGCAATAAGTCATTCCTCCTGACGTCCTGCCGGTGTCATAACACCTTGGCATAACAGAGAATCGCATCGCGGTGTTACGATGCTCGTGCACTCTCTCTCTCTCTCTCTCTCTCTCTCTCTCTCTCTCTCTCTCTCTCTCTCTCTTTCTCTCGTCTCGCGCCTCCGTGCTCTCGAGCTCTTTAATGACTCGGAATGCCGGCTGCTCGAAGGGAGAGAGTGAAAGTCGCGAATCGAGCAGCCTCGAGGACGCGTTATGATAGCGATAGCGAACGCGTTCGCCGCGTGCCGTGTGCCGCCCGGGAAAATTTCAAGAGACGACCCCTTTCGTCTCGCGAACCACACCGCTGGCTTGCAGAACAGGGTGTGGAACGGGGGGGAAGGAGACGACGAGACGACGCGTCGCAGCCCCGAAGCGACCACGAAGGGAGAAAGAGGGTGGTCGAAGGGGATAATTCAGCGACTCAGAGCCGGTTTTCCATGGCAGCCTATCACGAAACTCGCGAGCTACGAGGAACCAGAAGGATGAGTCACTGCCAGCCTGCCTCTGCCAGCTTGTTCGGCCTTCCCACTCTTCGAGGCGAGGCGAGGCGAGGCGAGGCGAGGCTGCGAGCTCGCTGAAAAAGAAAGGGAGTCTGCGGCTGGCAGAACGCGACGGTAAGAGACGAGGAAGAAGAAGATGAACAAGGTGGTAAAGAAACGAGAGGATTAGTCGAGCCTGCGGATCGCCTACACGCGGCTAGGCTCCGAGGAGTCTCGCGAAGGAACGGCCGAGATTATGCTACTTATTCTGCGATCGCGACGTTGCCGAAACCCTGCCATCTCGTTCCCTGATCTCTCTGCCGAGTACAAGGCGAATGGAGACTGTTAAGCGATTTCTAGCTCTTCGGATGTGAAACTTTCTTTATGCTTGCTGGACCATTATCCGTTCTCTTATATATTGGTTCTCTGGACTACACAGGCTGCGTTCGTTCGTTCGACTGAATTTAATTTAATTTATTTATATATATTTTGGTAAACTCTTATTTTTACTGTACACAATAGAAGAGCGTATCATATTTGGTCTGACAGGGAATCAGCGAAATCAGCGATCAATCGCTTATAATGCTCGCTGCACGTTTAGCGTTCATTCGAAAGCAAATTTAATTGTTCTGTTATCGAGATCTCGGAACGAAAGTACGAACGAAGACACGCAGGAAACAAGAATAATCTCGTTCCATCGGGGCAATGATTAAGTAGGATGAAGTACTAATTAACCCAGCTATGAAAGAAATAATTGCGCTATAACAACGAATTAAGATGTAAGATTTCATAAATAATCTGCTGAAAACATTGGTTCTTCCGCTACCAAGGTATAGAAATACGAGAAAACGATTAAAAACAAGTGATGGTCAACGGAGTTCCGAAATAAATCGCGGTTAAAGCGCGGCGAAGAAATCGATCGGAGATCTCGAAGATCCGCGCGCGTATCGATCGCAAGCGGCCAGGAAAACTCGGTCTCCCGAGTCGTTCGAATCGACTTTTGTCGCGGTCGGATCCGTTCCGGTGTTCGCTTATCATTTTTCTCGAATAAATCTCTGATAATCAGCGGAGGCCGCGGAGGATTTATTGGACGTCTCGAGGCCAATTAAACACCGGCGCGCGGCTCTCGGCTTCTCGATCCGTGACGGTTATCGCGCGGCCAGTTCTCGATTATATACCGCTATAGGCCGATTGCTTCGGATCGAGTCGAGCACAAATCACCGGCTGCCTTCCTCGTCCTCTCCGACTTCCATTATTCGTCGAGACTCCGGTACCAGCCTGTTCCGCTCTCAACGCGCCGTTCTCCTCGGTGAGAGGGAGAGACACTGCTATGATCTACGATCGTTCGAGAGATCATGCTTCCTTCGACAGTCGCCGCATGTGCTCGCGAATCGCGGAGATTTTGAAAAATTTGATAGATATATTTTCGAAAATTCGTAGGAGATTTTAGAAAATTCGGAGGAGATTTATAATATTCGGAGGAGATTTTACAATATTCAGAAAAGATTTTATAATATTCGGAGAAGATTTTAAAATTTTAAAGAGATTTTACAAACATCGGAAGAGATTTTATAAATATCGGAAGAGGTTTTACGAACATCGGACAAGATTTAAGAATGGCCGGTTCGTATCGATGTACCGGATGTCAGAGTACGTAGTTGGATAGGTCGGAGCGAAGTAAAATTCCAGCAGCAGAGTCCGTAGAGTGCAAGGGTGAATCGACCGAGAGAAGTTTTATGGGTTCCTCGCGGGTCACGCGATGCATGAACGAGACGCGGAGAGCTTGGAGCAACAGTTGGATCATTTCTGCGTGTTCGAAACGCGACTCGCGATTCAATTGTACACGCGCGATCCACGTGCTGTCCCTCGAGATAATCCAGGCGCGTTTTCTTGACCCTGGCTTGGCCGATTAGCGGCGACTGCGGAACAGCTGAGCAACGACTGAGCAAACGGCTGAGTAAACGACTGAGCAAACGACTGAGCAGACGACTGAGCAAATGACTGAGCAAATGACTAAGCAACGACTGAGCAACGGCTGAGCAACGGCTGAGCAACAGTTGAGCAATAGCTAAGCAACGGCTGAGCAACAGTTGAGCAATAGCTAAGCAACGGCTATCAAAGGCTGAGCAACAATTGCGAAATGACTGAGCAACGGCTCAGCTACGGCTTAGCTACGGCTCAGCTACGGCTCAGCAACGGCTCGGAAAAGGTTGAGCAACGACTGCGAAACAAATAAGAAGAAACGACTGTGAATCGACGGAGCAACGACTGCAGAACGACCGAGAGGATCGCGAGGATAGAGATCTAGATCATCCGCCGCAGCGCCAGGGGAATCCGCTGGCAAAAGAAGGCAGGCGACGGGCAATTAACGGGATATGTGTTCGATTTTCTCGAGGTACGAGGTACGACACGCGTCCGCGGTCACCCCGATAAGGTAAGAGGGTACTCCTGACTCACCTCTGCGAGAATTTCCTCCTTGGTGACGTCTCCATTCTTGGGCGCTTCGTCGCGAGCCGGCTTATTCTTGTCCTTCTTGCTGAAGCTGATCGACCTGAAGGACCACTTTTTCTTCATCTATGAACGAGGAAACGGTATCGATAATGATCGGTAAGGAACTCTCTCGTTACGAGCGACTACTCGCGTTAGGTCTTATTCTCCTACACTTCTATAAAGGTCTCTCTTACGAGCACAGTAGGACACGGTTTAATCCTTTGTACTCGGATGTCGTCGGCAATGCGACGCTGTATACGTGGATAGAAGGAAAAACGCCGCGAGCAGGATTTACGTGTTTATCGAAAAGAACATCGTAGAAGGAGATTCTATAGACAGGAAAAAATTATGCAATTCGATACGCTGCTGATACGAAGCCTTAGATATCGAATTAAATCATTATATATTTTCCATTCTGTAATTTAAAAGACATGTTTGCCCGTTAAATTAATAAATAATAATATTTTTATTTTTATTGTACTCGAGTCGCGGCTATACGAAATCTTGTTTTTTGTAACAAAGGGTTGTCATCCGTATATATGAATAAGATTAATGAAATTAATAGCGATGAATAATGAATAATGATTAGTGATTGGTTCTTAAAGCGTTGCGGCGTTTTTCCTTGCAACCACAGATACATTCATCTCAAAGTAGCATTTCTTTTCAATTATTATTTTCTTTCACATATAAATGTACGAATATATATTAAAAATATATAATGAATATATTATGAATCTCGCTATCAATATTACAAAAATTAATATCAAAAACCTTCTACTTACTTATCTCAATAAAATTTCACAGCGCTACAATGGCTTCGATTTTAACCGAACTGTCTCTAATAGCAAGATCACGATTTTTACCTAAATTCGTCGGAGAAATCTTCCGACTGTCAAAGGATAAATTAGCGTTAAGTCACGTGCGGTCTAAATCGATGGATCTCCGCTGATTTTTCCGCACCGTGCGTCGACGTCTACGTCGTTATAAAAATGTTCATGCGTTCAAGACGGAATAATACGGGTGTTTCGTCTCTCTTACCTTGTCCTTCTTTTTGGGCTCCTTGCTGTCTGGAGAGGTTGCAGCGTTTGGACTGGCGGGGGTGGTAGCATCTGTGGGTGTCGTGGCCTCCGCCGATTCCGCGGGCGACTCTCCGGCAGACTCTTGCTTGGTCTCCTCGGCTTTTACCTCCTCTTGCTGAAACAAGCGCAGGCGACACCGTTTCAATTCCCATTCGAAGGACAATAATTATCGATGCAAGAAATAATAGCAAATTAATAAGAATGAATTAAAAATTCAAGAAAATATTTAGAGAGATTATTTATAGATTGGAGCTTCAGGGTGGCGGTCCTTTAAATTTCAACGTCCATAGGAATTCACGACATCCTTGGGAATTCCTAAAGACTTTGAGAGAACAGTGCTTGTTACTTTTATCCCGGATACCGTGGAACGATGCCTGTTTTACGATCTCAGGATCTTCAGGATCGTCCACTACGGTCCAAATACTCTGAGGAATCGCTACCCTACCCAGTCTCTGCGCGACCTTCGAATTGTCATAGCAATTTACAACCTCTCATGACCCTTGCATTACGGTACCCGATTGCAGTGACCTCGTGTCTCAACCATATAATTGTCTGTCCACTATACTGTCATATTATATCAAATAAATATTATTATTATTATTATGTCCACCATACTGTCACATTATATCAAATAAATATTATTATTATCATTACTACTATTATTAATGGCTTTAATAGGTACCGGTCATCGCGCTGCACCGTTATAGTATTTTCGGATGGTCGACAGATAGAAAAATTCGAGAGCTCCGTCGTGTCACGACGTAGAAGGGACGTCAAACCGTGAAACGCAATTGGGATTCCAGTCGACGACGTGTTTCCCTCGACTCGTTGGCCGTCGGTTCGCGTCGCGTTGCGTCGTAAACCGCGGATCGACGGTTGGGAAACTTCTTCTCCGAACGAGGCGTTTGTTTCTTTTTATTGTTCTTTTATTGTGCGAGACTACGCTCCGGCCGGCCTTCTCTCGGTTTCTGTTATTCAGCGAAATGAGCGTCCGCGAGCGTACGCGAAGCGCGACCGTCGTGGAAGCGGCGTTTTTAACCGGACAGTCGAGATAAAGAAAAAGAAATAAAGAAATAGAAAGAGAGAGCAGCAGGACAATTTTCCGGGTGAAAACGCTCGCGGCTCTCCTCCTCGCCCGCGGAAGAAGGGCCACCGTCTCGTTTCGCACGGCTCGAAAGAATCGCGAATTCGACGGGGAAAAATGGCCGGCGAGAACCGCTCGATGACGATGATAACACCGAGACGGGACATTATGCGAACGGGACACAACACCGATGACGAGCACGTACGAGAGGAAACCGCGAGGCTCTTGGATTACAGAGGACGAACAGTGGTTCTCCGAACGATTGTTACACGTCGTGCGAGTCGCAGCGACACACTCTACCCCTCCCCACTGCAAAAAAGAGCATCGTCGTCTTCGTCGTCGTTAACAATCTGCGCCGAAACCTCTGTCGATCATCTTCCGTCGCATCCTCGCTAGACTGCGAATTACTGCGCAAAATCCGGCGTGTTTACGATCAAAATTAACGAATCGAATTACAGCGAGGAAAAAGAATTTAACGCTAGATTTTTACGGTGCTCTAAACGCAGCTGTTTTATATTAACCCTTTGCGGACGAGTGTCGGCAAATATAGCCGTCCAAGTCTTTTTACCGCTTTTTCTTTTTTTATTAATTTATTAACACTATGTCATTCGGTGGCACCACGCTGGCACCATGCAAGAACTATCTGTTGTATGCCGGTGGTACCACTTTGGTGCCATTTTAAAAATCTGACAACATTTGAACTATATTTCTTGGGTGTTAACCCTTTGCACTCGAAGCCATATAAACTGTAAATTTTAATTAATCTTCCCGACTTATGGTATTACCATTTGAATGACAAAGTGCATTTTATGCATATGAAATTGAGTCTTGCGACTCATACAACAGTTAGACTTTTAACAATACTTTATACGTAAGCTTTGTTATTATAAAAATTATCTTGGAACGTGGTGTAACAATTTTCGTGGTGTCTCGGTGTCACCACTCGAGTGCAAAGGGTTAAAAGGCAGCAAATTAACTATAGCATTGTGCTTATTTAACTAAGAATTAAGAATAAAAATTCTTGGATGATATATCTTAATTTTAGGAATTTGTATTACCGCCATCTTCGAAATTTTGTTTAAAATCTAAAATTTCCGAGCTATTATGCCGGCGTCAAACAAAAGAATCATATCTAAGATCTGCGGACGGCGTAGTGTTAATTATTATAATATAAATTTATTAATTTAACCGTAGGTTCAGAACGAACTTCAGATTGACGAGTCGGTCTTTCTGCGTCACTACCAGAGAAACCAGCAACAAAGTTTTCCACATATTTATGATCTTATAATAATATAATTATATTTTATAACATTTGTATTTTATATCCAATACCTGTCGTCCACCAGCGACGTAATACCCGTCGAGCGGCTTCGTCCGCAAGGGGTTAATTTATAACGATAACAATAACACATTCAATCCGATCTTACTTCGCGTGTTTTCCGGAAAGTATGGAAATTTCGTAGGTCTCTGGCATCGCCGACGCGTCCTCCTCGATTGCCTGTTCAATACTGACTGACTGGTGTGTGCGTGTTTTCGGTCGGCCATTAGTCCTCGTCGAAGCACGTTCGGGTTTTTTTCGCACCCCGAGCTCGAGGCCCGCCCCGACCGTTTGACACCCGATACAGTCTGCCGTGTATTTACGTTAGAGCAACGACGCAACAAATGGAGAAACTAATGTAGATGTAATGTAAATGGTAATATTAACCCTTTGCAGTCGAAGCTATTTGAATTCGAACTCCAAAACATGATTTCTGATCTACGGTATTTTCTATTTTATATAATTTATCGCAATTTATGCGTATGAAATTGAGCCTATTGGCAAATACAACGCAATTTTAATAGTTTTTTTTTTAAGTATAAACGAGTCCGATGTTCTTGGAATGATTTTGAAAAATAGTATAGCAATTTCTAGTGACGCCTCAGAATCGCCGTTCGAGTGCAAAGGGTTAACAGTAATAATAACAGTAATAATTATAATAATAATAATGACCGGTACAGTGTGGATTAATTCAATGGATCGCGTACTCGCTATTATTTCGTGTATTGCGCAACAAAGGGTCCATACCGTTAAAGAATTAGTGGTATATGTTATTAATTATTCATTATTATTATTGTTATTATTATCTCGATGCCCGACTTCGTAATTCTTTTCCTGTAAACTTTCTTCTCTATCGAACAGCTGTCTTTCTATGTTATCTACCAATGAGCGTTCCGCTCGAAGCAATACATTGAAATGACATAATAAGCGACACAGAAAAACAATAATTACATGGCACGGGACTAATAAAATGACCCCTCGGCAGCTGCGAACCTCGCAACATCAGGTGATCTCTCCGGGCAAATGCGATTCCATGCAGTTGGTCGAAGAATCGACGAGCCGGATCGCGCTCGAGATCCGCCGATTTTCCGGGGCCGCGTAATCAATAAAGAAGCATGGACGAATGGAACGGGGTTACAGCTGCGACACGCTGCTTTCTTTTTCGTCTGGACACGCGAGGGTGTCGAGTCGCCGAGAACGCGCATTATATTATGTAAATATCCGGTTATTTTCGTTCTGGCCGGCCGGCCAGACAAGACGTCCGCTCGTCCGTTCGTCTTGGATATCGCGGTATCGCGGCCGATACTGGCTAGAAAGAGAGAACGAGAGCGAGAGAACAAAAGAGAGAGACAGACAGACAGACAGAGAGAGAGAGAGAGAGAGAGAGAAAGGGAGAGACGGCGCAAGAGCGAGAGAGTCATGGCGAAACGAAGAGAACAGGATTGTTCGGACTCGCGACAGCTTCGGGGAACCGAGGCGGCTGTCCAGTCGGGTTACTTGTCCTTCTTAGTTTCGAATCAATCGGTTAGAGCAGCCGGACCCGTCTCCGGGTCACTCGTGACCCGTGGCAGAAAGCAACAGCTGCCGCGAACGCGGCTCAATCGCTGCGCCGCTTTTCGTGATGTTCGACGTCGATCCTCCATCTGCATCGCATCGTTGTTCATATATTATTTTTCTAATATATTCAACAACGTTCGTCGCATGATTTCCAAAGGATCTTTCTCCTTCGATCGTTGCAAAATTTTCGCAATAATTTTTCAACATTTTTCTGCATCGACCGCAGAACGCAGAAAGAACCGGCCATCGACCACAGAGACGACAGCTCGCGGAAGATCGATTTCAGCTTCGTTTTATCCGGCATCCTCGATTAACCCGTGATCGATAGGTCGCAGCTGTTCCCGCGATCCTCCTCCTCCTCCTAGCTTCGGTCTCTCGATCACGCTATGCAATAGCGCGCGGATTTTTCTATTTTATAGAACTCCAGAGGCTGCAGAAGAACCGGCGGCACTCGGCCGCGTAAATATTCATGGGAGCTGGTTTTCTCTGGCTCGCCAAACGAATAAAACCGAGCCCCCATCCCCCGTACGATGATACAGCGTCGATCGACAATGATTTATCTCGAGTTTGATATGCGCCGGCAGACCCCGCTGCAAAAATCTCTCTCTGTTCGCCTATCGGACGATATCGGAATACCAAGAAATTCGCGACTCTCGAGGACACGTTGCTCGAAGGACGAACTTACGAGCGTGCGAGCAAGCGAGATATCCTCGTTCGCAGGTGCAGCTGCGATTCCGCCGCGAATTCTCCAGGCTTGAATCAGCCGGACAGCTGCGAAGCGTGCTCGAATTCGGACCCGCGCGCAGTCGTTTTGACGAGCTATGATTTTCCATTCGCCTCGGTTGAATCCGTTTTCGGAATTAAATTATATTCATTCAATATATTACAATAAAAATGATTACCAAAAAGCTACTTAAAAATTAGTGTCACTCATACACGTGACTCGCGCGGCGCTGGAAGTATTAACCCTTTGCACTCGAAGCCATTTTAACCCTTTGCACTCGAGCGGTGACTCCGAGGCACCGCTAACATTTGTTATATCGCGTTCTAAGATAATTTTCACATTAACAAAAATTATTACATCACGTTCCAAGATAACCTTTATATTATCAAAGCTTAGATATAAAAAGAAATTGTCGAAAGTCTAACTGTCGTA